TGAGAAGGTGATTCGTGGATTTCATTGCGCTCGTTTCATTTAGAAGATGCTTTTAGAACATTTCTGATGATTATTTAGGGTTAGACGAACGAAAATTTTGGGTTTTGATTGGTAGGGAATGATAAGCGTGGACTACTTCATGATAGGATGATAGTGAATGGAAATGATGATAGTGTTCAGGGAGATTTAAGTAATAGTGATAGCAATAGTGATGGTGGTATTAATAATATGGTTATTAATATTAATGATATTTTAATAATAGTTTAACAGTAATATAGTTTAACAATAATGATAATATTAATATTATTAATAATAGTTTTAATAGTAATCGCAATAGTAACGCTAACAATGAGATTGATGAAAATTATGAATGTAGTAACAGCGATAGTGAGTAAAAGTTATGATTATTATGATCATCTAGAATAATCTAGATATCTTGGATGGATTAGAGAATTGAGAAAAAGTTATGTGATAATTTGGAATAGTGAGTGAAAAGCAGTTGAATCAAAGAAGTAAATATTCAGCTATTTGGTCAAATAGCACGTCAATCAGCGTATCTGAAACGTATACTTTCGAACGAAGTGGGTGAGGTGTTGGTGGCGATGGCCGATGTGTTGTGGTGCGCTCTGGAGGTACAACCGAAAGCCGAATGGCTGAACGCGTGTGTTAAATCGCTGAGAGTGATGATCTCGCATCCGGCAGTTGGCTATGTAACTGTGTTGAAGTTGTTGGACTTCTATGAAATGGTTGGTTCATTTAATTTTGTGTTTTTGTTTTGTTTCATAGTTTGTCATTTTGATTTGATTTGTTTTAGTGGAATGTGATTTGTGTATCGATTCTGATTGTGAGGTTATTTGAACGTAACGTGAGATTTTAACATAAATCGCATTTTGTTGATTCAGTTGCTTTGTTTTGCGCATTAGTATTAACTGCATTGCAATTGTATTTTTGTGATGTTAATATTGGATTGCGAAACGGTATTATATCGTGATAGCTTAATGAGATGAGATATAGAGATGAATACATGTCACTATTTATGAGTGTTTTGTTGTGATGGAACTGAAATTGCTTATGCAGACAAGGAAGTGGATAGGAAAAATTAGTGGGTTATGAAAACGTTGAGGTACGGTGAAGATAGAACGGTTATACCGAGCCTATATGTTTATCTACGCTTCTCAACAACAACAAGAACAGTAGTTTTCATAATGATGACTATAAACAACGTTTCGTAAGAATATATCG